GATGTAATCTATGCAGAAATAGAAGTATAATGATGTACACCTGAAATTTATACAATGTTATAAACCAATGTTACTGCAATAAACAAAAAATTTTTTAAAAAAATCTTCATGTTTTAAATCTACAATTTAAAATCTGGAATCTTAAAATCACTGCTGGAGTTTAAGTCTTAACCACCGTTCACAAGTTGTTGTGTCTGTAGACAAGTAACCACTATATACTTGTTTCCACTTCTCTAAATTGGGGATAAATCTTGACTACTTAATTCCAGAGGACTGATACAAGAATCAAATGACATGAAATTAATCCATATGGCATAATGTACTAAAACATTATTATTTATATCTTTTTTTATTCCTATATAATTAAAAGAATACTAAAGTAATTTCAAAAAAATTTAGGTTTAAAGACCAGTACCTACTGCAAAATAAGTTACCTGAGCTGCTTTGTTTCGGGTTTCTTCTAATTGTCTCTGACACTCCAGAGCCTCTTGTTCAGCCTTCAATTTCAAAAGGGCCAAGTCTCTTTCATGGCGTTGCTGCTGTGCCTTCGAAATAAATGATCAACTATTAATTCTAAGATGCTAAACTATTTTAATACAGTGACTATATTAACACAATGCTATTTTTCTAACACAAAACTTTTGAAGCAACCAATTAGAGCCTAAAGGAAAGAAAGCAAATAGGATAGACATAAACCATTTACCATTTATCAAAATGTTTAGTGACCACCTACTATGTGTCAAATAATGTAGTAAAATTTCCAAAGCCTATAGAACTAAGAACTGATACAAAAAAGCTGGTTTGAAATCAAAAGTTATCATACCTAACTCTTTGAAAAGAATTAAAAAGTCCTATGTGTAAAAATAAAGACAATGCTTCACACTTCACACTTTGTGTGTGTGTGTGTGTGTGTGTGTGTGTGTGTGTGTGTGTGTGAGAGGAGGATCAGCACTGAGCTAACATCGTTGCCAATCCTCCTCTTTTTGCTGAGGAAGACTGGCCCCAGGCTAACATCTGTGCCCATCTTCCTCTACTTTATATGGGACACCGCCACAGCATGGCTTGACAAGCAGTGTGCCGGTCTGCACCCGGGATCTGAACCTGCGAACCCTGGGCCGCCAAAGTGGAGCATGCGCACTTAACCGCCACGCCACCAGGCCAGCCCCCAACACACTTCACACTTTTATGATTCCTTTATTTTGACTTTGAAGAAGCAGTTTCATAAAAATGTTGCCCCTAAAAAAGTCTCCTTTTCACCAGGACAGTTTCCTACCAGTATTCCATATAATGCTATCTATAAATTTATATATTTTCATTTCTTCTGGAACAGTGCTAAATAGTATAGGTTCTCTAAAGGTGGGAAGGCTGTATATAAAGCCACGTAATGCCCTGTCCAAATCTGGAAACCCAGAATTATAATAATATCCCTAAAATGGTAGAAAATCTCAGTGCTTTTTCAGATTTGAAGGTAAGAAAGCATTGCCACCGCAATGGGGCCATTTCCTCAATCCAGTGATTTTTAACGAAGTTGGTATCAGTCCCTTCCCCACTCTCCACCAGAGAGCATTTAGAAACGTCTCAGTTTTTGCTGTCACAACGACTGGATAGCGCTACTATTACTTCTCGGGAGGGGTGGATAAATGCTGAACTCCCTGCAAAGGATGGGACAGTTCCACACTAAGAACTGTCTATAGGTATTTTGGGAGGAACAACTAGAAAATAGAATTGAAAAAAATATTATTTATGATAGAATCAAAAGACATAAAATATTTAGGAATAAAATTTAAAATGTGTAAGACCTCTACACTGAAAATTACACTCCATGAGAGGAATACTGAAAAACCTAAATAGAAAAATAGAAAAACACCAACATGATCATGAATTAGAAGACGCAACATTGTTAAGATGTGAATTCTCCCCAAACTGATCTACAGATTCAACGCCATTCAAATCAAAATCCTACCACGCTTTTTTTTTTGTAGAAACTGACAAACTGATTCTAAAGTTATGTAGAAATGCAAAAAACCTAGACTAGCCAAAACCAACTTGAGAAAGAACAAAGTTGAAGTAATTACACTCTGATTTCAAGATTCATTATAAAGCCATAATAAAACAGTAATAGATCAATGGAAAAGAACAGAGTCCAGAAGTAGACCTACATATAAATGATTACTTAATTGCTGATAAAGGTGCCAAGGCAATTTAAGTCTTTTTGAGAAAATGGTGCTGGAACAACTGAATAACCATATGGGGGAAAAGACGAACTTTGACCACTTCCTCACACCCCATAGTTAACTTAAGATGATTCACACACTTACATATAAAAGCCAAAACTACAGAGCTTTTGAGAAAAACACAAAAGAATATCTTTGTTAGAGTATCTTAGTATTTTAGAGGAGACAAAGATTTCTTAGAAAATAAAAGGCAATACCATAAAAGAAAAAAATAAAAAACTAAATTTCATCAAAATTAAAATATTCCGCTCTTCAAAAGAGACAGTTTAAAAAATGAAAAGGCAAGCCAAGGACTGGGAAACAATATTTGAAATATAACTGAAAAAGACTTGTTTCTAGAATATATAAAGAACTCCTACAACTCAATAATTAAAAGACAAACAACCCAATTACGAAATAGGCAAAAGATCTGAACATTCACCAAAAAAGACATAAGAATGGTCAATAAATACACAAAAAGATGATCAATCTCATCAGCCATAAAAGAAATGCAAATTAAAACCACAATGAGATATTACTTCGCACTCACTAGAATAACTAGAATACCGAATAATAGCAAGGATATGGAGCAACTGGAACTCTCATACATTGCTGTAGGAGGGTAAGATGTTACAACTATTTTGGAAAACAGTATGGCAATTTCTTATAAAGTTAAACACGCACTTATACTTGACCCAAACAAGTATACTCCGAGGTATTTAAGCACTAAAAATGAAGATATATGTTGTATTTTATATACAACATATTACTGTATACAGAAAGCTGTAAAAAATGTTCATAGCAGGAATATTTACAATAGCCAAAAACTGGAAACAATACAAATGTACATCAGTAGCAGAATGAATAAACAAATTGTAATATATTAATTAATGGAATATTATTCACCAAAAACAAAACTATGGATACAACAACACAGATGAATCTTAAAAATATTATGCTACATAAAATAAGCTAAACACAACAGAGTACAAAGTATACTTCCACTTATATGAAGTTCTAGAACAGGCAAAAATAAACCATGATGATAAGTATCAGAATAGTAATTGCCCCTGGGAGGAGGAATTAAATGAAAAGGGGCATGGGTGAACTTTCTGGGGCGATAGAAGTATTCCGTATTTTGATTAGGGTGATTGTTACATGGTTACATTGGTCAAAACTCATCAAACTATACACTTAAAATCTGTGTATTTTATTATATGTAAATACTACCTCAGTTGGAGAAAAAAAAAAAAAATCCCAATAGCACCCCCACCGAGGAAGACTGCTTAGACCTTCACTGGATTTTGGTTAGCTAAGGAAAAGTCCACATTATCCTGGCTTTATCAAATACCTGGATCTCGGAAACTTTTCTTTTTGGTACAAATAAAGCATTAAAAAAAAACCTCAGTCATCTCTGAATTGTCAGTGAAAAGAGAAAATATTGAGAATGTTTGATTAGCTGATTTTCACAGTCATAAAAAAGCAGAGAACACAGAAAATGAAATATTTGAGAGAGAACGATTATATTATTGTTCTACTGCCCAATACCGCAAGTTTAATTTTCTATATGTTAGTTTTTCCCAGGGTTATTTATAGGTGCCGTATGGTGAACTATTTTTTTGTACTTGGCAGGTTAAAGTTTTTTTTAATTCATCATTAAGACTATTTTAAATAGCAAAGAAAAGAGAAAAAACACAGAAAGCTAAAGAAGAAGAAAACTCCACAAATACCTTTATGATCTGAGCCAGAGACACACTCTCCTGCTGAGCAAGCGAAATGCCTCTAACTCTTTCTACATCCGATAGTTGGCGTACCGACTCCTCAATGGCACTCAAGTAATCGAGTTCTGCTATCATACGATGCTGGAGGCCAGCAGGAGAAAAGCGCTTAGAACCTGGAGGGCATAACAATTGTCAAATATAAAAGTTCACATGAAATTACATCTCAGATTTCTAAAATTCATTTCTCATTTTAAGAGCCAAAAACAAGTCTGCTTTCCTTTGTAGGAAAGACAGTGACTTATTTGTACAATGTATTTTAATAGTTACTTCTTTTGTGTGTGTATGTGTGTGTGTGTGCATGCATGTGCATGCACGTGTACATACATATATATACCTATAAACACTTAGGGGTACACATATGGGATATATTTTTCAGGTGTGTTGGACTAATGCTGGCAAGATGGAGAAAATCACTATTGAATCTCTCATAATTTTCAATATTTATTTTTCTGCACAGTTTTTGTTTACTACTTTAAAAAGTAATCACATTTGCTTGAAATAACATTTCCCTATGGTTCAACTGAAAGAAAAGAACTTTTCAGAAAAAAAAAATTAACGTATCTTATTTTTTAAATTATAAATGCACGGATCTACTTGCCTGGTGTTGAAGCCATCTCTGTAGTTGTTCTGCTGGCAGCCAGGTTCACATCAGTAAAAGCTGCATTAGGCTTAAATCCTGTTACAGTTGGAGGCATTATTACTGAGGATTTAGATCTTTCTAATGAAGTTCCTGGAAGGTCAAACTGCGTCAATTTCTGGGAACTTGGAGATAGGGGAGAAGTTGGAGTTTTCTGAGATCTTCCCTTGTCTGATGAGACACTAGAAGTTTTGTTTCATAAAGACATTAGAGAAAGGAAAACTACTTCAAGAACCAGCTAAGTTCATAAGAACAGCATGCATTACCTTCATTAACATTAGCTTTAAAAAGCTGTGATTCAGGCATTTATTCATTCAACATAGTCGCTATGCCGAGCGAATGACTATGAGTACTCATCTTACTGCTACATTTACAGTGGTGAACAAGCTAGGCACAAACCCTCTCAAAATAAAATGGAAGAGGAGTCTCTTGATTAAACTGGCACTTAACTCTCTCCTTTGCAATACACTTATATCCTGAATCACTGATTGCAGTATGAGGCAAAATCCTCTAAAATACTTAGGCCTTATATAGCAGAAAAATTACAGCCATATATAAAAGGTAAGGTCAAGCCTATCTGATAAAAAATGTCTTATTTTGTCTTTGAAAGAGAATAAAATATCGTTTTGTATTAAAAAAAAGGAAATGACAAAAACTACTCTTTTATTATTCCTCTTAACCCAAGTCATAGCAAATAATTATTTTCATACTAACCATCTCTAAGTACTTTATATATGTCCATTTGTTTCTATCTACCTTTTAATGCTATAGTTCTTTCCTGAACTTTCTAATAAGAAGTAACCTCTCCTAATAGTTTGATTGAAACAATTCTTAAGGCATTTATTTAAACACAAGGCACATGTCTAGCTCCTCTTCGAGAAATTAAGCTCACTAACGGTATTGTTTCTCATAACAAAAAGCATGCTGCCTTGTGATAAATATTTATTTATTGAATTACTCAAAGATACTCTATAAAGCATGTTAGCACAGTTAACATATTTCTAACATATCGTTTTAATAAAATTATGCAAGTTTTCAAAGGTAAACATTTTTCTTATACCCAGCATGTAAATATTTGAATAAAATTATTCATGAGAGGCACTTAGTTGTTTACAGTGGCCTTTAATTTTCTATTGATTATTTAGAGAAATACTGTTTTTAACAGTCTGACAATTTCACTTATGGAACACAAAAAGAATTATCATTACTTCTGTCTCCTCCTAACAGGTTTCCATGAAAGAATTCCAACATGACATCGAAACAAGGTACTCTGTCTGAATCTCAACCTTATGGTTTTACAAGGTGAATTTATATGTGCTGTGTAGAGAAGATTCACCTAGACTAGCATTTGCAAAAGTATGTTTCCAATGATGTTAATAAGTTTTCCAAAAAATAAAAAGGAAAGAAAGAGGAAAAACTTGGCAACAGAGTGTCTATAGCCAAATAAGTTAAGAATAGATGGGCTAAATAATTTTTTTAAAATCTAGACTCCTCCTTATAAAAGCTTCAAATTATTTTATCCACCGTAAATCTCCGTAGATGAGGAAGGAGGGGTTCAGATTACAGTATGGTGCATTTATCAAACTTATTTGGCTATGGACTCTGTTTTAGAAATGTTGAACTTTGTAGATTTTACCAGTTAAATCATCAGAGTATCTCTAAAGGAAAGGTAAAGTTTTCTGAATTCAAAATCACTGACAAAGAAACTAAAATTCAATTCTACATACAGCAATGATGATATTAATGATACAACATTATTTGCAACATGAAAGCACTAAAAATGATTATCTGTAACACTGTACTAGAAAAAGCACATAGTTTTAAAAGAAAAAAAATAAATCCATGTCTTCTCAGAGCTTAAATTTCCACAAGGACAAAGCCAGTGCAGCAGATAAAAAGTCATGTGGACAAAGGAGGAGAAACTGTACATGAAGAAATAACTGAAGGTTATTTGTAAGCAACAGGCTAAGTGCATAATATATGATATTAAAAAGAAGAAAAGAACCCCACAGAGTACGCAAGCTCCATAATCAATGTAAGAGTGAGTTTTCAAAATTTGCTTGAGTCATGTAATAAATTGAGCAGGAGAGGGGCCAGCTTGGTGGCGTAGTGGTTAAGTTTACATGCTCCGCTTCAGTGGCCTGGGGTTCGCAAGTTTGAATCCTGGGTGCAGACACTATGCACCTCTCATCAAGCCATGATGTGGCGGCATCCCATATACAAAATAGAGGAAGATGGGCACAGATGTTAGCTCAGGGTTAATCTTCCTCAGCAAAATGAGGAAGATTGGCAAGCGATGTTAGCTCAGGGCTGATCTTCCTCACAAACAAACAAACAAATAAATAAATAGAGCAGAAGAGAAAAGTTCAGAGGAAGAAATAAACAATGAAACCAAAGGATGCTAAGTAGTTGTGATGAAAGAGTGGAAAAAACATTTAAGAAGCAAAATGTATAGACACAGGAAATGAGATAGTTTGTGGTAGCCTAGAGAAAATACTTCAAATAAAGTTAAGCTCTTAAAGTTGATCTGTGGGGTAACTGTGAGCTCCCCAAGTACCCTAAGGAAAGTAGTGATAGTAATAAGGTAACAATTTTTCAATAAAATTTGGTTTAAAAGAATTAAGAAAACAACTGTGGCAATGGCATTCAAAACAGAAAGGTGGGTTGTGCTAGAGGCAGAGAATTCCTGAGGGAGAGGTTGTTAATACTTTAGGTGAGAAATAACCATATTCTAAAATATAAAGACTAGAGTTACAAACAAAACTAAAAAGTCTATTTAGAAAATACGAAAATTTATAAATGGATTCTCTGAACATCAATGATATTGTAACTTTAATTAAATATGAATTACAGTATACAATTTACATTACTTTACCTCACAGAATGCCCAGAAAGATCTTCCAAAGTGCTATCCGTGTCAAGAGCCTGCTCATAATCTTTAACAGAAAGTTTGCTACTGGTCCCAGATTTCTTTCCTTGGTGAGCGCCACGTTCTGAGCCAGAGTGTACTTTTTCCTCATCAAGAAGTGAGTTCTGAACATTTCCAGTGAGTGAATCCAGCCCTGTAAAGCAAATTTCTTATAAAGCTGATTCCCAATATTAGAAGTTACTGAGAGATAACTGATACCTAAATTTCAATGAAATTATAAAAAGTACAGGCCAGAATTTTTTTAAATTGACTTATTTTTAAAAATTGTTTTTCATATCTAAAATAAAGCAGTTTATCCTCCACTTCCATTTAAGGAAAGTGACTTTTTCTTCCATTAATACCCCCCATTTGCTATTAAAAAATAAATTGTTCTTAACACATGGATAAGGAAAACAGATTAGTGGTTACCAGAGGGGAAGTGCAGGGGGGCCGGGGGGAGTCGGGGCTAGAGCGAAAGGGTTGGAGCACATATGTATGGTGACGGATAAAAACTAGACTATTGATGGCAAACATGATGCAGTCTATACAGAAACTGATACATAATATCGTACACCTGAAATTACACAAAGTTATAAGCCAATATGATCTCAATAAAATAAATTTTAAAAATAAAAAAATAAATCGTTCTTAAATCAAATGGTAAAAAGAGACAAGCATATTAAACAAGAATTAAGTACTACTCTATCCCTATGAAAAGGTAACAAAAAAGAAGTTTTTTAAGGATAAAACCCAGAGCTGGGAGACAAATGGTATCAACTGCAAAGTGAACTACAAAATCCTTTTGAAAAACTCTATGGCAAGAACTAGGTAGCCAGATTCATAAAACTGTTCATATTGTCTGACTCAGAATAATCTCGCTTATAGGGATATCTTAAAAGGACTATTTAAATAAACGAATATTATGCAGATATTCAATGCATAACTTTAAAAAAATTGCAACCTACAGTTCCAACAACAGAAGAGCTATCTAAATTACATAGATGACAGTAACCTAAACATTTAAATAGCACTTTGTAATTTAAAATGCACTCCATATATATTACCTCATTGCTCTTAACATCTTATGAAGTCGGTACTGTATGCTCAATTTACTGATGAGGTAACAAGAGATCTATGACGCTAAATAACTTGCTTAAGGATATCCAGTCAATAGCATAAATAGGGCATAAATCCAGGCTTTATGACTCTTAAGTCTAGTGCATCATTCACCTTAACGATATGTTTCAATAGCAGCATGGGAAATATTTATGTTAAAAAAAAGAAGCAGAAAAAAGAATTGTATGTACATTTTAATGATAGCTAAAAATTTTTTAAATGTAGATATATGGTTAAATATCAAAAGAAAATGGAAAAGTGAAAAAAACAATGATGCTGTATACTCATGTTCATAGCATCATTATTCACAACAGTCAAAAGGTGGAGCAACCCAAGTGTCCTTCAATGATGAATGCATAAACAAAGTGTGGTACATATATACAATTAAATACTATTTAGCCTTAAAAAGGAAGGACATTCTGACACATGCTACAACATGGAAGAAACTTGAAGACGTGCTAAGTAAAATAAGCCAGTCACAAAAGGACAAATACTGTATGATTATATATTTATATGAGGTGCCTAGAGTAGGCAAATTCAGAAACACATAGAACAGTTGTTACCAGGGCCTAGGGGGAGCAGAGAATGAGTTATTATTTAATTGGCATAGAGTTTCAGTTTGGGATGATCAAACAGTTGTGGAGATGGAGAATGGTGATAGTTGCACAACAATGTGAATGTACTTAACGCCACAGAACTGTACACTTAACAATGGCTAAAGGGCCGGCCCTGTGGCTTGGTGGTTAAGTGCACGCGCTGCAATGCTGGTGGCCCAGGTTCGGATCCCGGGTGCGCATCAAGGCACCACTTCTCCGTCCATCCTGAGGCCGAGTCCCACATACAGCAACTAGAAGGATGTGCAGCTATGACATACAACTATCTACTGGGGCTTTGGGGGGAAAAAATTAAATAAATAAAACCTTTAAAAAAAAACAATGGCTAAGTTTCCTAATCAAATTCATAGAGACAGAAAGTAGAATGGTGGCTGCCAGGGCGTGGTGGTGAGGGGGCGGGGGGTGATGAGGGAGGAATGGGGAGTCATTGTTTAATGGGTACAGAGTTTCAACACGGAATGTTGAAAAAGTTCTAGAGATGGACGGTGGCGATGGTTGCAAACGGTGTGAATAAACTTAATGCCACTGAATTGTACACTTAAAAATGGTTAAAATGCTAAATTTTATGTTAAGTATCTATTACCATACAAAAAATTATGCTATATTATGCTGTAGTGATAGTAATAAGGTAACAATTTTTCATTAAAATTTGGTTGGAAAAAGGAAAAATGAAAACAGTCATAGCATATGAAACATATTAAACGCAACTAGCAATCAAAGAAATGCAAATCATTTCAATGAGATGCCGTTTTTCATTATTAGATTAGCAAATATTTTTGAAGTAATGAAACCTTGAGAGTCATTCAGCACACACAGGAAAGGATACTCATACACTGTTTTCATAGGAGTGCAAACTAATACATCCTTTCTGGACGACAACTTAAAATATGTATAAAAATAATTTTCCATCCCCTGACTCAGAAATTCCACCTCACTCATAGTAATTCATCCTAAGAAGCTACGTAAAGATGTGTACCATGAATTAGATACGCTGATTGCATTATTACAATGCGAGAGGGCACACAAATAATCTAAGGGATTATTAATCGATTAGAAAGGATTCTATAATCTAAAATCTATTTATGCTCCTTAGGCTAGATGCAAGTTGTTAATACTGGCTATCTCTAATTTTTCTATAATAAAGATACATTCTTTTATAATAAGAAGAGTTTATTCATTTAATATTGCTCTTTGAAAATAAATACACAATTTAAAAATTGCTCTTGATTTCAAACAACTAGACATTGTAGACAATACAATGGTCTAAGTAACAAAGACCTAAACTCCAATCAAGGAATCCATATGCAAAGGAATGTTTGCCCCTACTTTAAAAGATTACCAAATGAAAGTATATTTATATGTTTTAAAGTTAAATTAAGATAGAAAAAATTTTTTCCGATGATTACTTTAATCTACCACTTTTTTTTTTTTTTTTTTTAATTTTTCCCCCCAAAGCCCCAGTAGATAGTTGTATGTCATAGCTGCACATCCTTCTAGTTGCTGTATGTGGGACACGGCCTCAGCATGGCCAGAGAAGCGGTGCGTCGGTGCGCGCCCGGGATCTCCGCCAGCAGCGGAGCGCACGCACTTAACCGCTAAGCCACAGGGCCGGCCCCCCTACCACTTTTTAATTGAAGTATGATTGACATACAATATCCTATTAGTTTCAGTTGTACATCATAGTGATTCAATATTTATATACATTACAAAATGATCACCATGATAAGTGTAGTTACCATCTGTCACCATACAAAGTTACTACAATATTATTGACTATATTCCTTATGCTGTACATTACATCCCCATGACATTTATTGTATAACTGGAAGTTTGTACCTTTTAATCCCCTTCACCTATTTCACCTGCCCCCACAACTACTCTCCCCTACTGGTAACCACCAGCTTGTTTCATGTATCTATGAGTCTGTTTCTGTTTTTTGTTTGTACATTTGTTTTGTTTTTTAGATTCCACATATAAGTGAAATTATACAGTATTTGTCTTTATCTGACATTTCACTTTGCATAATACTCTCTAGGTCATCTATATTGTCACAAATCGCAATATTTCATTCTTTTTTATGACTAAGTAATATTCCATTGTGTATATATACCATATCTTCTTTATCCGTTCATCTATAGATGGACACTTAGGTTGCTTCCATATCTTGGCTATTGTAAATAATGCTGCAATGAACATAGGGGTACATATATCTCTTCGAATTAGTGTTTTCGTTTTTTTCAGATAAGTACCCAGAAATGGAACTGCTGGATCATATAGTAGTTCTATTTTTAATTTTCTGAAGAACCTCCATACTGTTTTCCATAGTGGCTGCATCAATTTACATTCCCACCAACAGTGTATGAGGGTTCCCTTTTCACCACATCCTCACCAACACTTGCTATTTTTTGTCTTTTTGATACCATTCTGATAGGTGTGAGGTGGTATCTCAATGTGGTTTTGATTTGCATTTCCCTCATTATTAGTGATGTTGAGCATCTTTTCATGTGCCTGTTGGCCACCTGTACGTCTTCTCTGGAAAAATGTCTGTTCAAGTCCTCTGCCCATTTTTCAATCAGGTTGTTTTTTAGATATTAAGTTGTGTAAGTCCATTATATATTCTTAATATTAAATATATAATATTTAATTTGGATATTAAATATATAATATTTAATTTGGATATTAAATATAAACATACAGCCTTATCGGCTGTATGACTTGCAAATATTTTCTCCCATTCAGTAGATTGCCCTTACATTTTGTTAATGGCTTCCTTCACTGTGTGAAAGCTTTTTAGTTTGATGTAATCTCACTTGTTTATTTTTGCTTTTGTTGCCCTTGCCTGAGACCAGTCCAAAAAAATATTGCTAAGACTGATGTGAACAGCTGACTGCATATGTTTTCTTCTAGAAGTTTCATGGTTTCAGGTCTTACATTCAAATCTTTAATCCATTTTTAATTTATTTTTCTATATGGTGTAAGATAGTGATCCAGTTTCACTCTTTTGCACATAACTGTCCAGTTTTCTCAACCCCATTTATTAAAGAGACTGTCTTTTCCCCATTGTATATTCCTGCTTCCTTTGTCATAGATTAATTGACCACATATGTGCATGGGCTTATTTCTGGGCTCTCTATTCTATTCCATTTGCCTATGTGTCCGTTTTTGTGCCAGTACCATGCTATTTTGATTACTATAGCTTTGTAGTATAGTTTGAAATCAGGGAGCGTGATACCTCGGGCTTTGTTCTTCTTTCTCAAGGCTGCTTTGGCTAGTCAGAGCCTTTTGTGATTCCATACAAATTCTAGGACTCTTTGCTCTAGTTCTGTGAAAAATGCCACTGGTATTCAGATGGAGACTGCACTGAATCTGTAGATTGCTTTGGACAGTACGGACACTTTAACAATATTAATTCTTCCATTCCATG